GCTGCTTCTCTATTTCTATCTGGCAAGCTAATTTGCGCAACAATATAAAAGTTGTTTGCTTGTTTTCCCCATTTTAGGAGTCAGCCTGTTTGGAAAGCATTCCATGCAAAATCAAATGAATTTCGGTTGTCCCTGTTCCGGGTCCGATGTGCAAATGAAAATTACTAGCCCAGCTATGATTTGATTTTTTTATTCTTGGTGGCTCTTCCTGTGGGTGAACTTCCCTAGCTCAGCTAATCAAATACGAAAAGCTACCAAAATATATATTTTGCTTTAGTCTGAATATAGATACCCTCCAACTTACATACATATTTATATCTGTATAATATTATTCAGTTAGGATTTTTAATTTGATTTATATAATTTTTCTAATTAATGATTTTTAATTACCATTATGTGTCTGTACCCCGAAAAATAAAAATTCAGATATACCAAAGACCTCTTTTTGAACTTGGACTGAACAGAGTATACATTTTAAATCACAATTTCGAAATGGAAGCAGAGTTGTTACAAAAATATCACATTCTATTTCAGGCCAAATATAAAAGTTGTAAAGAAAGTAAGGACCAATGCCTAGGATTATTTTTATTAAATTTGGTCTTAAATTATTCCTAGTAAATGAAAACCAATTCCTTGCTGACCATTACTGGCATTGTTTGGCCAAATCACCAGAAATATGTTGAGGAACTCCAGTAAGTCAGCTTAGTTTAATTGCCAAATGTATGTTGGTTTTGGGAATGACAGACAATGCCTTATCAAACCGGCAACAAATCAAATTTACCGAGCTCAAAATTAAATTTAATTGACAACTCATTGAACCAGACTCTTGCCATTCAATTATTTCTGCTGTCTACCGCAGAAGCGTCCAAACAAATGTCAAATGATGAACATCGTACGTGCATTTCTGTCTGGACGACTGGGTTTGGGGGATTAATTCGTAATTTAATAAGCTTGTCTGCAATTATGCAAAATAAATAAATTAGAAATGCGGCGACGGATAGGCAACTTCGCCGACGTGGGGGCATTATTGCACATGAGCAAGGGAGTGCGATGAGTGGCGCGCTCGAGTAAACAAACCACAGACTTAATCCAATTAATGTCGAATTTAAATGCTCGAGACGATTTGGCATGCCCTGACAGGCAGCTCATCCCAACTCGATTGGCCATCGAGGGGTTAAGGGGGTCGGGATCGGGACATCGGGACATTGGGACATCGGGGGAGTTGGAGCTAGCGATTCACATTTCAGCTTGCAGCCACAACCGCATCGTGTACGAGTTACTCCTGGGAACGTGGTGGAAAAAAGGCAACTTTTTCTGCGACGTAGATAGTTTTTCCTAACAGCTCATGTGTGTGGGGGCGTAGCAAGAGGCGTGGCAGCATGCAGACTCTATACTCTATACTCTACATTCTACTCAGCACGTAGACAGCCTCTCAACGAAATCATGCACCGAGAAAAATTGTTACATGGTTGGTTTGGACTATGAAAAACCACAAAAAATAAATACAAAGTTTTATAAAAACCAATCTAAAGAACTGGTTGAGAAATAATATAAAAGCAACCGCATATATTTGAAAACTTTAAGCATCTGATTAGATCTTAAGATTGAAACAGACAATTTTGTAAATTTATATCGTGGAACAATAATTAAAAATCGGTGATTTAAAATATTCAAATATTATTAGGACACGAAAATCTTCATAAAGAAAAACTTTATTTTCTATGAAATATAGATAAATCTAAATATAGGGTGCCTTAGGTTGTAGTTTGAGGTTTATTGTGTTGAACAAAATTCTTATTAAATGTAAATTCTTTATTGACTCTATGAATTTGTTTTTCTCAGTGTGCGTGTGTGCAGGGCGGGAGGATAGGTAATGCGTCATGTTCGAGTTTATCGTTGGGGCCCCGAAATTGCCATACTGGGTGGAAAAGAACAGCCAGATAGATAGCCCCCTATCCAAGTCCTTTGCTGCAGGGACGTGAGTCGAGCCTGGTCTCCTGATGACTCGACTGTGGCCAGAGAAAGGAGAAGCAGGCTCGGGGAGCAGACGGGCCGTGGCCAATGTCGGCGGCAACTTGCCTCAAACTGACAGGCTGTTAAGGAGAGTAGAAGGAGGAGGGGAAGTGGGAGTGGGGGAGTCAGCGGAGCATGTGGCAATGTGCTGTTAGTAATGGAACCGCAAATTGAACCAACCAGGCTGGGCGAAAGCGGAAACGGAAGCAGCCAGCTGGCCGCCTGCAATTTGCAACCAGAGACCTTTCGAAGTTGCAACAACTGAAACGCCTGCTCATCACTTCGATTCACGAATCGCTGGCCACCATAAAACATATTTAATGCATTTGCTTGGCAAATAGTAATTAGATTTCCCTTTCATTCGATTCAAATTGGACGACTGAGTGCACAGAATCCAATGCACAAGCGCACCGATTTAAATTCCATTTCGGTCGGAAACTAAAGAGCGGAAAAGCGTTTGTGGTTTTTAGCAAAAATAAGAATGACCCAATTGTGTTATTTGGCATTAATATCAAATTTTAATATAACGAAATTCATATCAAAAAAGAATCGATTTTCTATGACGTGAAAATTCAGCTTCTATAATTATATGGTAATTATACGGCGGAAAGATTTCTAAACAAAATTTTTAGCACGCTGAAAAGCTTTTGTTTTTCTTTTTTTTTTCAAATTTCATTTTATTTTCGATTTTTTTTAACTGGTCGCGAAATGCTCAATAGTGGCAACTAATTTGATTTCTATTCCACTAAAACCAATGAAATGAATGCACAGGATCCATCGCATATGCTCACGCATTTGATTTTGGGCGGAAACTGAAAGGCGGAAAAGCGTCAGCGAAGCGTGCTAATTCACCGGTTCAAAGGCGTTCCGTTACTCGGAAATGTGTCCGTTCACATGCTTAGCCGCCGCTGAGTTTCCTTGTGTGCCTGTCTCAGCGGCTGTGGTCGGTTTGGTCACCTGTCGCACTTTCTCCGCTTTCCCCACCTTCAATTCCTTTGCCTGGCTGCACACGGACGCACCCTCACGCACACAAACGCAACTGTCGTTCTGTGGCTGCTTTGTTTTCCTCCTTGCTACTTGACTTTTGCTTTGTTTTACTTGTGGCATGCAAGTATTGTGGTTGCTTTACACAGAGAAAAATAGTTGATGCTTTTTTGTTTACTTATTTAAAAAAAAATTATTTAAAATGCACAAATGAACCTAATGCGACTCAAAATAATATAAAATAACGCAATATTGCAGTTTTAATTTCACTACACAATTATATATTGCTTAAATATTTGTTGTACTACCGCTAAATTATTTATTTAAATTATTTTCCCCGGTTATTGATAACCTATTTTTAAAGCATCAGTAATGAATCCATTGAACTTATATAAACACCTGGATTGAGTGCATTTTTATTTACCAATAGCGCGTTCCCTTTTTATGTTACACATAAAAAAGAAACCAGTTAGTACAATTTTCTTTATGTCCGAAAAAAGCAGGCATAATGTAATCCTGCATAACTTGTTTTTGTGTGTAGCAACAGGATTGACCGTTCTGTTCTGTTGTCCCGACAACAGGATTTATGCAAAACGATTTTATTGTTGTCTCGAGCATCCAACTTGAGCCCTTAACGTTCTTTGGCCGATTGTTGACATAGCGGTTGGGCCAGCTGCTGGGCCATTTTAATCACTCAGATGCTCGTGGCTCATAAAATTAAATTCCCTCTAAATTTGGGCGACCGTGGAGGGCTGTCAGTGGGCCTGGCCGAAAGTAAGCTGTCTAAAAAACCGGAGCTGAAAGTTGTAAATGTGCTAAGGAGCAAGATGAATTGCCGGTTATTATTGCCAACTTCATTTGCTATGCAATCAAGTGGGGGCTAACTGGGCCAAGAGCCTCTAAATGAGGGACCATCTTCAAGATGCAAAACGAAATGAAGAGGGCCTTCAAATTAAGCCCACCTCGCCAGTTGGTCGGCTGCGTTACAAATGAATATTAATTATGTATGGCATGCTAATTCCTCGAATCCATTAATCACAATTATAATTTATGCTGTTATTTTCACCTTTTTACGTGCATTAATTTTCGCATTTTTATCGAATAAATTCCGCCGGCACTCGAGCGCCCATTTGCCTCATTAGCATTGCCATGGATAATAGAAATTTAAGTTGTAAAATCAATAAAGTGGCACATTAATAATTACAGCAACAAAAATAATCACAAGGACAATGCAATCACGCGACACTAATAAATCCCCGGGGCTATGTACAAATCTGCGAATAATTAATGTGTGAACTCGAAATGGCATTCGAAATGGCCCAAACCATTATGGAAATTATAATTGCATGAGAGTGTTAGACTCGAATTATTATTAGCATTATCCTGAGGTTGGCAGAGTCACAAGAAATTCCAAAGCATCGAAATACATAAAGGCCAATGGAACCTCCAGGGCATCAAAGGATTTATTTTTGGAAATGTTAGCCAACTTAGTTCATTTAAAATGTCCAAGGTCGAAATTTATCTCGTAAAATTAAGTAAAGCAATTTCAATTATAAATATGGGATTATTTTTACAAATGGAGATAGGGCATAAACATTTCGCTGCTTGCATTAAATGGAACCCCGTCAGAAGCTATTTTAAAACAACATCATAATTTTATTTATGCTAGAGTAGCTTGACAAATGAATTTTAAGCACTTCCTGCTGACTTTGGTCCAATCAAAATGTGCATAATTTGCATTTCGCAATTTACATTTGCCAAGATGCAGCCGGCCACTTGTATGCCGTGACACTGGCAACATAATTGTACAGTTTACATTTCGTATTTATTATTTGCTTTTCTGCCATTTCATTATCCCCACGAATAGCGTTGGCCGCTCAAAAAAGGGAAATTGTAAATATTGTTACGTGTCACAGTTTACTTTATTTTTCTTTGGCAATTATTCAACTGTTCGCTTCAATTTCAATAATTAATTGAACAAATTGTATTTCTCTCGATTGCAGTTGAACGTCCTCAGATATCTGGATTTAATTTGTGAAACAACCAATGACAACATGCTGAAACCGTTGGCCGTGATTATTGGAATTTTTTATTTAGGTGAGTTCTCAGAAAGTCTGTTGCCGTCAAGCGGTCGGCGCAAATAAATTTTTTTTTTTTAATTTTATCCCGGTGCCACAAGTGTTATATACTTATTATTATAGCCTGTTTGCTGGGCAAGGATTTTATTCAAGTATTATGGACTTAAGAACTTACTTAAAAACTTTTTAATTTGTCTGTACTTTTTTTTGCTCATTAAGTTGATTCGATTCAGTTCGATATGCGCCGAGTGTTGAATACATTTTTGATGAAGTTTAATATATTGATGGTCGAGAAGTAATATTATTTATTCAGTGGGCATTTAATCACTTACGGAAATTGCATTTATCATGTACATAGTGCGTAACAGTTTGGAAAGGATTATTGGTGTAAAAATGGTTGGCAAAAAGGATACTGTAAGTGTGAACTGCTTAGTAGATCAGTTCCTCTCAAACTGTAATTGTAAGCAGTTTATATTTGTACGATTTCGTTTCCTTCCGAAAGTGGCGCTTTCAAAGCTGCAGAAGCTTACGACGTAAAGCTTATCTACTCGAAGCTTAAAAATCCTGTTCTTTTGCGATTTGGACTTAACAAAGTTTTTTGGAACTTTTCGGAAGCTTTAAGGATTATTTAGGATTACGTGAGCTTAAAAGCTAGGTTCAGAAGTACTAAAATACGCACCTAAAGCTTTTGCTTGAAGTAAATTTATTTGTTCGTTGTTCTAAAAATATTTGAGTATATTTAAGCTTTTGTGCTTTCCTGAAAAACATTTATCCTTACACAGACCTCAACCATTACATAAAATACTGTATACAAATCGTAAAAATGTTATCTATCAAATGGTAAACGCTTTTGGCAAAACAATGAATAACAATTTTTGCTGTCAAAAAATCCTTAAGATCCCAGAACATTTATCAAAAAATCCCCCCGAAGCATAACTTTAATCGCATTTCAATCGCCAGACTTTCGCGATTAGAAAGCCACAAGGGCTGCGGTAAAAACCAACACATAACGGCAAACTATAATTATGTTTATCTTAATTATATTGCGTGACGTAAGTTTCTTATTAACCGGCAACAAAGTCACAAAAGTCAGCAACAATTTACCATGTTTATGGGCGGCGGGGCCAAAGCCCCAAGGAATTATTATTACATTCAGGTGGTCAGGAGGACCTCGCACGGTCCTTTTGAGTCGCGTGAGCAATCAGAGCACGGGTGGGCAATCACCAGAAAGCCAGAAAGTGACCGAGCCGGACCACCAAGTGGTCACCGCCGAGTGGCGCCTTTGTCCACCTGCTCCATCTGTTCCTTTCGGGCCCCCTTAACTTTATTTGCATATAAAACGTGTGATGAGTGAGGGGGGAAAACGCGTTTCTAATGGAGCCACAACAATTGCCAGGACGTCGCTGTTGTTCTTGATTTCTTGCGCCTTGCAGCGCCGAAAAGTATGCTAAGAAATTAAGCACGTTGGTCATTTTCATTTGCGTGCCTGCGAGCTGTTTTGGGGCCACACGGCGTATGCGCAATGCAAAGTAAATGCCTCGAGTCCAGCGACACACGCAAAAAAATAAAACTGCACGTCATTACCTTTGTGGCGACTTTCGAACTCCACCCCTTTTAACCCTCAGTCCTTCGGTGGTTAGGTAAGCCTTGCAGATTTCTCAAAGCGATCGAAGGGCTTAACTTTAGCAGGCCTCATCATTTATGCTAATCAAAGGCACTTTAAGACCGCTCATCGATAGTTCAAGTGTCTTCGCTGGCGATAAATCAAAATAATTAAGTCGCCTTAAATTGACTCGAGTTGCAGTGGTGGTTGAGAAAGGGGAAGGGGGGACCATAAAGTGACTGGCATTAACCAAACTCCCAAGTGGGGCTAATAAGCTTGAGACAGCGCTAATTTTACCCTCATTAAACAAGCTGACATGCCAGGCCCAGGACCAGGACCAGATTGGTGGCACACAGGACGATGCCTGCTAACGGTTTAGAGAGCTCAATAAACTCAAAGGGCTGGCCGACGTTCGTCCTTCGCTCCTCACTTCTCCCTTGGCCCACAAAGCCCCAAACCCCCTGATTTCCAAACTGCGCCCCTCTCGATTGCCATGCCAGCAAGCGTCGCCATTTTGGCAGTCATTAACGGCAAACTGCTTCATCATTTAATAACCCAAAAGTGAGCTGGTTAAATGCCGAGCGATGCGATGGGGTTTCGGGCTCTTTCGGCCCCAAATACTCCCCCACACACAAAAACAGGCACACGGACACATAGTCGCACAAACACACAGACAACAGCTTGGGCTGGCAAGAAGCAAAAAAAAAAAAAAAAGAAAGCCAGAGTGGCACAGAACATGCCACACTTATTTTTATAGATTTCATTTTAACACCGAAAAAGGCAAACGCATGGAAACTTAACCGATGCCGTTCCCTCTGCCAGACCCTTTGCGCCCCCTCCCCGCCACGCCCCATTTTTCGGTTGGCAGGACCGAGACTACATAAAATTGGCAAGGCGTCAAAAGCAAGAAGGCGGCGGCGGCGGGCACGAAAAAAAGGGTTCATTATGGCAATTTGCTTAAACTCTTGGCGGATGCTCCTCGCTTCTAGGGGAACTTTAGCTTTGTGGCCCCTTTTTTCTGTTTTTTTTTCGTAGCGACTATCTTAAAGCCAACAATGATTTTTGAGGGTTTAACTGGAAAAGAGCGGCATCATTTGCCGGTCTGGCATTCATTTCACATTCGCCACACTTGGCGTGTCGACCGGGCTCATAAAATATAATGAAAAGCAACATTTCCGTTCTCGGCTAATTCCCAACTCCTGTCACCTTAAAGTCGAAAGAAAAGTTCAATGCACTCCTCTGCATTTTCTTTGCTTATGGATTTTCCGATATGTGCGCCTAGTGTCGCTTTGTTTGGACGACTTGAATTTATAACATGATTTCAGTGCAGCAGGCTGTACAAATTTTTTAATTGAGCCCCGATGGCAGTGGCACACACGACACGCAACTCTTGACCAGGACTTGAGTCGCAATTGGCATTAGTGAAATATTTCAAAAAGCACTTAAGTTACGGTCAGGTTAAAATCAGGCACCCACTACAAAGAAACTACACCAGGAGAAACAAGGAGGATATAAACCCCGGAATTTTATAAAGAAAGTATTGAGTTCGATTTGGAAAAACTTTTAGACTCTGTTTTATTAAAAATCTGCTATCTGCTTTAAGATATTTTTTAGAATCAAAAACAGAAAATATTGTTTTTTTTTGAGTTATACTACACTTTAATTTTAGATTATTCGGTTTTGTTTCACTGGAATGAAGATACTATAGACAAATTCGAGTAGTCAAGTGAGAAAGACTGTAGATGGAGAGTTCTAAATAACCGAATTTTAGTCTTTATTCTCAAAAGCTCTCACTCTCAATCGACAGCAGAAAATTAAGTAATTCATATTCAATTTCGAGTTGTGTAGTTTTTCCATTCAAATCCTTCGCAGTCGTTTTCCCAGTTGTCGTCGCTGTGGCCGGAAGTCCTTGCCGCGGCAAATTGGAAGGAGAAAGCCGCTTGGCGTGTCGAGTTTTCATTTTTCGTGCGTGCCTAATTATATTTGCGTGTGCATGGCCAATTGCAGGTCGAGGATGAGAAAGAGAAGAGGCCTGCGGCTCCGCCCGGCTTTAAAGCCATTTAAAAGGATATTAGCAAGGACGCATCATCGGCGGGTGACAAGCGACATGTGTAGGCGTCGCTCGATCTGCTCGCCATCAGCGTGTCCTTGGGCCCGCAATGTTGACTTTATTGTCAGCAATATGATTTGTCACCTCACAGGACATGGCCAGCGGACAGGTCCTCGTGACCTCCTGACAGATGGCTGTCTGGTGAAGTGGAGTCCACTTCGCAGGACATGGCGTGTCGGCTTTGTGGTCTCACCCACCTTTTGGCCGGCGCCTTGATCGATTACCATTCCATCCCGATGCCAAGGAAGACGAATAAGAGGGGCCTTAATGGGTAATAAGTAGATTGCGTGATTGTTCCCAGAGCTCGTCACATTTTGCAGTGATTGCTCACTTTTCGACACTTTCGGCCAATGGCAGACAAAGGCAAAAGGTCCAAAGGTCCGAGGGTTTAACTCCTGGTCCTTCGGACCTCAAGTGGGCGTCCATTAATCAAGTTGGCCAAGAAGAGATGAGTGTGCTTCGAAAAGGGCGGAACTATTCGTTTGCATTTTCTATTATTATGAAGACATTCCGTGTCGCAGGCCTAACTTTTCTGTTTGTTTCTGCTTTAGTTTTCCACCGCGCTGTTTGCCGAGTAATTAGTGGCATAAGGCAAAAGTTTTTGAGGCAAATGTGTTGGCATTTGATTTGGAGGCGCTTCCTGAACGGAATAGAGAGAGAAACTCGGCGAAAGCGCCGCTTAGTTTGTATTCGAATTAAGGTCAAAGGCCACACACATTTCCACAATTTATTCCTTCAACGGCATTTAATCAGTCGTGCTGGCGGGAAATTTACACATTTATCGCTGCACCGAATCGCTTTCGATATCCCTTCCATTCGATCTAAATTGTTTTATGCGTGGGACCTTGCCGAATATGTTAAACAGATAGCAAGTGGATTCCATTCGATTTGCCTTTTATTCGCTCTGTGAGTTCCGTGGGGATTTTCAAATTTATTTTCCGGCATTCCTCGGGCTGTAATTGTTTCACGCTTGAATTTACAATTGTTTGGGGGTCGTGTTCCTTTGGTTTGCCATAAATTTAAGGCCAGAATGTTCGAGCGGACGGGGCCGAGTGTTTTGGCCAACTTGTTTTGCATGAAAAAGTGTCAACAACAAGCGGCGGGTCCTGCCTGAGGCTGTGACACCAAAGCTGACAACACTAATGAACGAGCGATGGGCGCACTTGCCACGCCCCCCCCCGCCTCATTGCCCTTTGACCCCCGCCCACCGGATTGCGCCTGCAACTTTACGGCATTTGTTCTATGCAGTTTTCACCTTTCCTTCCCTTGGCATCTTTTTTTTTTTTTTTTTTTTTTTTTTTTAGTT